GGACCACAAGTCGCAGCAGTTGCTTCTGTGCTCCCTCCCCTATAACTTCCTCCCCAAAGGGCCAGCCCCTGAACCCCCATCCTATACCTAAAGATGGCACTTCAAAAAAGGCAGAGGCTCCCCTCTGGGCTCTCATTTTCCTAGGCCTCCTTGCACCTGGGCATGTGTAGGATCTAAGCTTGGTTAGAAGCACCTATCGCCCACCTGAACAGAAACCAGGAAGCTAAGAGACAGGAATGATGCAGAAACTACCTCGACATGGCAATGGTTTGGGGTGGGGTAGGCAGAAGGGTAAGTCCTATGTCCAGCATTTCTGGTGTCCATGGACCATTGTTTCTGCTTTTCTTCCCCAAGCTTGAGTGTTAGCCCTCCAGACATCACACAAGCCCCCTGTGCCCAGGACCACAGTCTGCCTTGGTTCCTGAAGAATGGTTGGCATCCACTGGGGAGCAATAACTATCATTGATCACGTGCTCACTGGCTTATACAAGTCCTGCCCCATTTCATGCTCCTATGACCCTGGAAGACAGGTATTAGTCTCATCCCCACCCTACAGATAATAAGCCTGAGGTTCAGAGAACCAGCTGCAGGCCCAGCAGGGGCAGATGTAGGCTCTCAGCCACACGGCTACATTTGTCATTGTGTGGGTCCCATAGACTTCTGTCTAATGAGTGAATAGGGGCATGCACATCCCATGCCCCAACAGAATCTCCAGGGTGGGACCAGCCCACCACATTAATTCACCTACCCTCCTTCCCTGCCAGTTACCTGGTGCCTCAGGCCCAGCCTGCTGACCACCACTGGTCAGACCTTTAGGTGTTTGGGTTTGTTTGTTTTTTTAAGGTAAAATTCATAAAATAAAACCACTTTAGAGATTTTCCTGGTGGTCCATGGTTAAGAATCTGCCTTCCAAAGCAGGGGACATGGATTCAATCCCTGGTCGGGGAACTCAGATCCCACATGCCACAGGGCAACTAAGCCCATGCACCACAACTAGAGAAGACCCCATGGGCCACACCTGGAGAAATCCCAAGTGCTGAAAGCAAGAGACCATGAGCTACACTGAACATCCAGCACAACCAAAACAAAAGCAAACAAACAAAAAAAAACCTTAAGGTGCACAATCCCATGGCATTTAGTACATTCATAGTGTTGTGCAACCATCACCACAGTCAATTTTAGAACATTTTCATCATCCCAAAAAGAAGCCTTGTACCCTTTAGCAGTCACTCCCTGCTCCTCCCTGTCCCCTGGAAATGAAGTCTGCTTTTCTATCCCTATGGGATTCCCTGGTGGCTCAGAAGGTAAAGAATCTGCCTGCAATGCAAGAGATCAGAGTTCAATCACTGGGTCGTGAAGATCCCCTGGAGAAGGGAATGGCTACCCACTCTAGTATTCTTGTCTGGAGAATTCCATGGACAGAGGAGCCTGGCAGGGCTACAGTCCATGGGGTCGCAAAGAGTCAGACAGGACTGAGCAAGAAAGGCCTTTCTATCTCTATTGATTTGGTTACTCTGGATATTTCATGTAAATGGAATCATAAGATATGTGGCCTTTCATTTCTGGCTTATTTCACTTATATTACTGTTTTTACGGTTCATCTATGTTGAAGCACGTGTCAGTACTTTGTCTCTTTTCATGGCTGAATAATAGTCCGTTGTGTGGATGAACCACATTTTCTTCATCCATTTTTATTCTCTATGGACATTGGGCTGTTTCCCCCTTTTGGCTACAGTGGGTACTGCTGCTGTGAACAGTGATAGTCAGGCTTTTGTTTGAACACCTGTTTTCATCTCTCTTGGGATTATACCTAGGTGTGGAATTGCTGAGCCATGTGATAATTTTGTATGTAATTTATTGCACAGCCACCAAACTGTTTCCATAGCAGCTATACTGTTTTCTATTCCTGCCAGCAATGCATGGGCTCTAGTGTCTCCATACCCATATCAATGCTTGTTGTTATCGATGTTTTCCTTTGTTTTTGTTTTGGCTGCACCACATGGCTTGCTGGATCTTAGTCCCTGACCAGGAATTGATCCCAATCCTTAGCAGTGAAAGCACTGAGTCCTAACCACTGTACTCCCAGGGAATTCCCTGTTTTCCATATTTTTGATCACAGCCATCCTAGTGGGTGTGAAGTATGATCTAAACTTCTACTGTTCAATCCAGGGTCCCTTTCCTCCCACATGTCAGGGCCACAGTGGCCTCGGGGCTGAGTGCAGGCAGCCTGGAAACTGAGGCCAACCTGCTGTCCTGGGAATCTCGCTCTCAGATTTAGGGAGCTGAAGACTGAGTTGGAGGAGTCCGAGGTGCAGAAGGTAAAGCTGGCCCTTGAGGGAACAGAGCCAATCTGTGAGAGTCGAGAGGAGAAGGAGGTATGAACAGCTCCAGAAGGCTCTCAGGAGCTGTTGCCCCTGGGTGTTGGGGTCTGGGGTCTAAAGCTTTAAAGAAGAGGATGTGGGAAAGGCAGAGATAGGGAAGGACAGGGAAGTTCTGGGGGAGGCTCTTCACTACTGCTAGTAGTGTTGAATAAAGCAAACACGAACTCATTTTGGTCAAAGTGCAGGCTAAATCTCATTACAGCAATGCTAGTGAGTGCAGCATGCAAGCTCCCCCCTCACACTGGAATTCCATTGGCAGTCGTAACTGCCTTTCCCGCAGTGCTGAGCACTTTCACGCATGGGCTCCCGTAATCCCACAACAGCCCTCTGATGGAGGTATGGTCGTTGCCCCGCTTTAAAGAAGAGGAAACGGAGGCACACAGAGAGGTCATGGAGCTTGCCCAGGATCTCCTGCCAGGAAATGGCTCAGAGCCAGGTCCGTGTGAAGCAGAACCCTACGAAATCTTGCCATCCGGCTGGAAGCAGCATTTCCCTGCCTGGGACTTAGAATAACAGACTCTTAGATGGAGAAGGTTCCTGGGGCACGTTCTCCCCAATGCCTAGGAACACCTTCAAATGGGGGAACCTGTCTTTGAAGTGCCTGCCTCTGGCCAGTCCTATTGGAGGGCCTGTATACTGACCTGACAAGCGCAGTGTGGCAGGCGTGGGTTTTTGAATGAACAGCGCTCACACTAAGCTCTTCCTCTAGCACTTCTGAGTCTCAGGTCCTCTCAGCAGGAAAATGGGTGCCCAGCTGCCCCATGGCTGCTTGTGGGGAGGCCCTCTGTCACAGTCTGCTCTCTTCTCCATTGAGTGACTCCAGCCAAGGCTAACCTCTGGGGCACCTCAGCCTTATACGAGGCTTCGAGGTTGAAATTATAACTTCAACCTCAAAGAGAAGCTCTCAAGGGCCCTGTCTGGTCTCTCACTGTATCTTCTGAGAGACCGCTGGAGCAGCTTGCTGTATGTGTGCGGGGTGGGTGTGGTCACTGTTTACCCCGCAGCTCAGTACCCAGTCCAGGGACTGGTGAGGAGGACAGTGCTTGGGGCCAACACGGCAGGAGGGGAAGGCAGGGGCAGGGGTCCCTGGTGTGGCTAGAAGCTCTGGCAACCTCTCTTCTCCTGCCTCAGAGGGGCTGCAGGTGCCTGCCTCCCTGGGGACACAGCTTCCCCACTGCCCCGAGTCAGGAGGGAGCTCAGGAAGCTGTGCCCCAGCTCTAGACCCCTGTCCCGAAAGGCAAGGTCTATTTCTTATCTTCGAAATGGCTTAATGACATCCGGGGAGCTGTGACTGGGAGGGGAATGAGAGGTCTATCTACCAAAGCTGTCTATGGTGCTTTGTGTGTGTGTGGGGGGGGCAAATAAATGCCCCCTTTTTTTATTTTGTCTGTCCACCCAGCCCGGAACAAGCCCCTAAGTAAGCAGCTTCCCCCCCCCACCCCCCACCCCATTTTTGGTTTCTGAGAAGGGTTCTCCTTCTGTCCCAGTGAGGTGCGCTGGGGAGGTGAGATGAGGGGGCAGATACACTTTATTGCCCGGAGGTCACTGAACAGAGACCAAGCCGGCAGCTCTTCCATCCTGGCCCACGCCCCAGTGTCGGCTGAGGTTCTTGGGGGTCCCTGCACGGGATGCAAAGGCAGAGCACACGCGGGGAGGAACCAGGACGCCACCCCGAGGCCCACCGACCTCGGTAAGTGGCGGCGCCCCCTCTGCCCCCACTGCCTCCGAGGGCCGCCCAGAATCTGTCCACCCAGGCGCGGGACAGGGCGACTCCCCCGTGGCGCCGTGCTGCGGCGCCCAGTCCCTCCCGCAGGTCGCCGAGGGCGCCGGGGCCTCGCGCCACACCTGTCCGCTCCTCCGGGAGGCCCCGGCGCCTCTGCTGCCAGCCCCTCGGCGCGGAGCCCTGTGTCCGCCGTCGCTTTGATCCCGGGGGCCTCGCTGGATAAAAGTCCCGGGCGGCTCCGCGCCAGCGCCAGAGGGGAGGCAGCCGAGCCGGGCGTACAGCGGGCTGGCGCTGGGCGAGCGACGCCAAGGAGCCGGGGCCGCGGGGCCGCCCGCGCGGGCCGCGGTGAGCGCGGGGCTCCGGGCCGGTTCGGGGTGGGGGGTGCCGGCCGGGGTGCCTGTCGCCCGCAGCTGCTCTGGGCCTGGGCGGCGGGAGCGAAGGGCCCCCGGCGGCTCAGGTGAGCGCTCCTCTTGCGCCCCCAACCCGTCGGGCCGACCCGCCGCGTGGCCAACCGAGCTCCCCCCCGCGCGGAAAAACCCCGCTCCTTCCCCGCTGGCCCCCGCCCGCCGCCCCTTCCAGCCGCCCGGGGGCGGGGGCGGAGGCGCCGGGCTGGCCGCGGTGAATGAGCCGCCGGGGCCGCCGGGCCGCGCTGCCCCCCACGGAGCCGGGCCGGGAGCGCCTCCGGCGGCCGCGGCGGGGTAGTCCAGGCCCCTCCGTCAGGCTTGCGGTTTGGGAAGAAAAGGCGATGCCTCCGCCAAGAAAAGAGCGAGCGCGGCCCCCTCCCCCTCCGCCGAGCCCGGGCGGCGGCGGCGGCGGCACATCTAACGCGCGGGCACCCGGGCCGCCGCGGCCCCCGCAAACTACGCCCAGACCGCCGCCGCCCCCGCCGCGGGCCGAGGCGGCCCCGGCAGCCGGGCAACCGGTGGAGAGCTTCCCTCTGGACTTCACGGCCGTGGAGGGCAACATGGACAGCTTCATGGCACAGGTCAAGAGCCTGGCTCAGTCCCTGTACCCCTGCTCGGCGCAGCAGCTCAACGAAGACCTGCGCCTGCACCTCCTGCTCAACACGTCGGTGACCTGCAACGACGGCAGCCCGGCCGGGTAAGGCCTGCACCCGCCCGCTGCGACCGGCGCGCCCCCGTCGGTGGCCCCGGGACTGCCTGGTCGCCAGCGGGTGCGCACCATCCGCCTCCCTGTCCCCGCTCAGACGCACGGAGCCTGCATTGGACCGTCCCTACTGGCCGCAGCGGTGGTCGCCCACAGGGGAAAGGGCTCCCGTCGGGCCTCGGAGGCGCTGGCTCCGGGTAGGGCCCTGCTAGGCGACTAGCCGCGCGGGGGTTGGGGCAGCGCTGGTCCTGGGCCAGCCCCGGGCACTGACCCCTCGGCCACCGGTACCCAGCCCCTGTGCTCGCGTTCTTCGCTCCCTGGGCGGGGAGATGGCAGTCCGCGAGTGGCCCTGACTCCAGCAAGAGGAGGTGACACGGGGGGTGGGGAGATTCCTGCCGTCCGTACCCCCACCCCCATCCCAGCTCAACTCGCCCTGTCTGTTCCGTGCTGCTGCTGGGACTGCCAGAGATCCAGCCAGCCAGAGGGATAGGCAGGGGGTGCAGGTGGGACAGAAGGACCTAGGGTGCGGCATTCACCTCCTCTCCAGCCCCTAGCAGATGAAGGATGAGAGGCTGAGGGTTGGAGAGGGGTTTAGGGGTTCCCATGCCCTCAGTGACTCCACAGCTTGAGGAATACGACGTTAGGTCCGGCCTTGGTAGGAAGGATGCGACCCCGCTTCGATGGCGCCCGCTCCCCTCCACTCCCGCCTGTGCGACCCCGATGCCCCTGCCCCACGCACACTCGAGAGTGCTTTTCACTCTCCAAGCCCCACTGCGCATCCCAGGAGGATCTCAAGCCCTGGCAAAGACCCCACCCCCCACCCCGCCTGGCCGCCGGCGCCGAGGTTACAGCGGGTCCCGCGCGGGGCGGGCCGTGGGGATTTTCCACGGACCACACAGCCCCTCGCCGCTCTTCCCCGCCTCGCGAGCGCCACCTCCCGGGACTGACCGCGGCTGGCCCTGCCGGGCGCGCTCTGCGGGGGCCTGTCCGCTGGCGCCCCCGTGCGGCCGGCGCGTGCCCGGTGACAGGTGGAATGACCCCCATCTCCCTGGAGCTGGACCCTGCAGCCCCTGCCCGCCCCTCCATCCTGATGACCACGCACTCCGCCCACTTCCCTTGCAGCTACTACCTGAAGGAATCCAAGGGCAGTCGGCGATGGCTACTCTTTCTGGAAGGTGAGTCTCAGGTGTGGATGCGGTGGGGCAGGAGGAGGGTCCCCTCGGCACTGGACCCTGAGATTGTGATCTGTGCCCGCAGGAGGCTGGTACTGCTTCAACCGGGAGAACTGCGACTCCCGATATGACACCATGCGGCGCCTCATGAGCTCCAAGGACTGGCCCCGCACTCGCACAGGTCAGCGCGCCAGGGATTGCCCAGGAATCCCCAGGGGGTGGCGAGAAGGGGAAGGAGCTCATAATTGAAAGTACTGGAAGAAGCCTCTTCTCCTTCATTATGTAGAGCCCCCAGAGAGGCCCCACCCCATCTATCCCCCAACCCACCAAGGTCAAGGAACATTCACTGTAACATTTCATTCTTATTCCACAGGTAACTTCCCAGGGCTCATCCTGGCTACACAGTACAGAGGTGGTCCCTGATCAAAGTAGCTGGTGGAAAGGGGGAGGTTGAAGGTCATGTCCAAAAGTCACAGCCCAGCTGGGCATCCTGGTCATGGAGACTCCTTAGAGTAACTAAACCCATCCATTCCCTACTTCCCTGGCAACCTTGGTTCAGGCGGGTGTCGCCACCCACCCCCTTGCTGAATGAAGCTTGGTAGGATCCCTCCACATCTGCTCACCTTCCTGTAGTCCTCACCCCTGCCTGCATGCCCTGCTCCCACCAGAAAGACCCACTGCCTCTGTCCTCCCCTGCCACAGGCACGGGGATCCTGTCCTCCCAGCCAGAGGAGAACCCCCACTGGTGGAATGCCAACATGGTGTAAGAGGGAGCCAGAAGGTCCTTCCTGGGGGGGGGGTCCTGTCCTTGGGGTCCTTTCTGGAGGCTGCTTCCTAAGAGGTTCTTAGGGGAAGTCCATCCTGGGGGATCCTGTCCTTAAGGGGGTCTGGTCCTGGGAGTGGTCCTTTCTAGGGAGGTCCTGTCCTCAGGAGTCCTTCCCAAGAAGGGTGATCCTTCCTGTGGTCCTCGGGCAACAGAGGAGCATGGCAGGCTCACACCATCCATGTGTCACAGCTTCATCCCCTACTGCTCCAGCGATGTGTGGAGTGGGGCTTCATCCAAGTCTGAGAAGAGTGAGTCCCATGCCTTCCCTCCCCTGCCCCCCCACCCCCTCACCCCCACACCTCCCCCCTGCCCCCACAGAGGCAGGGCAGGGAGGACAGAACTTCTGGGGAAATACAGACGTTCAGCCTTGTGATTCCTTCTAACCCTTCGATAGTATATCCCAGAGTGCTGGCCCCCAGCACCCACTACCTGGCTTGTCCATGGCTGGCCTGGCCCTGGGGGAGTGGGTTCCTCACTCCTAGGTGTTCCCCGAGGGGGGCCCCCAGCACAGCCTTGTGTACCTGACTCATCTTCTTCCAGTCTACCCCTGCCCCTGTTACCATCCCCGGAAGACCCTCCAGACACCCAGCTATACCTGACCTCCTTCCAACCTGGGGATGGGAAGACTGGCTGGCTGTCCAGGCCACCACTTGAAGCCAGCCCTCCTTCTCTGTGCAGACGAGTACGCCTTCATGGGCACCCTCATCATCCGGGAGGTTGTGCGAGAGCTCCTGGGCAAAGGGCTGAGTGGGGCCAAGGTGCTGCTGCTGGCAGGGAGCAGGTGGGCTGGGCAGGGGCTGGGGTGGGAGTGTGGATGGAAGGGAGAAGATGGGGCTGAGCCAGGGCAGACGCATGGCCAGGAGGCTCAGCAACATGGGGCGTCTCTGAGGTTTGGCTCCCGTTTGCCATGTGGCTGGAAGCTGTCCCGCAGACACTTCTGGCTCCATGGTTGTTGGGTGTGAGGGAGGCTTTGGATCACAGTGACCTAGGCAGTTGACTAGGGGCTAGCTGTGGACTGATGCACCGCCAAGGGCTGGGGTCCCTGTAGGCAAGATCACATCCGCTGGTTATTGTATCCCAGCAGGCATATAGGGGACTCAGGGGTCATCTAAGGAATGGACAGAGGGGCCTGGACCACAGAATTCACCTTCATTTTCAGATAAGGGAACCAAGTCAGAGAGTGAGAAGGGGGAGAGGGAAGGAGGGGTCAGAGGAAGAGAGATGACCCGACACTTAGCTCTGCATCAGTGCCTGGAGCTCTGCCAGCCCTTCTGTGCCTCCAAGACCTGGAAGGGCCCAGGGCCCTTACACAGGAATACAGAACGTGGTGGCAACTCATAATGCTCTTGGCTCCCTGTGCCCTGGGGAATGGGCTTGGGGCTGGGCAGACCTGGTGGGGGAGTGTCCTTCCTCGGTCTGCCTGGCTTGACTTCCCACCTTCCCTGCAGCGCGGGGGGCACAGGGGTGCTGCTGAACGTGGACCGTGTGGCCGAGCAGCTGGAGGAGCTGGGCTATCCAGCCATCCAGGTGCGGGGCCTGGCTGACTCCGGCTGGTTCCTGGATAACAAGCAGTATCGCCGCACAGACTGCATCGACACCATCACCTGCGCGCCCACGGAAGCCATCCGCCGGGGCATCAGGTGCCCCGGGAGGGAGGGCCCGTTCTGTGCAGAGGGCCTGGGATTGGGTGGCATCACGGGATGGAGGAGCTCATGGGGGCTGGGTGGGAGGTGGGTGAGCAGCCTAACCTGCAGTGTGTGGCCTAGGTACTGGAATGGGGTGGTCCCAGAGCGCTGTCGGCGCCAGTTCAAGGAGGGCGAGGAATGGAACTGCTTCTTTGGCTACAAAGTCTACCCAACTCTGCGCTGTGAGTGGGCACACAGGGTGGCGGGGGGGTGGCCAGCCCTTCTGTGTCTGCTGGAAACCCAGCCTGGAGTCCAGTTCTCAGAGGCTAGGCCCAGAGACCACTGCCACACCCAAGAAGGGTTGACAGAGTCATCTGGGCCTGGCTGGGATTTTCTCAGTTTTAGCACTAAAAGTCCACTCGGTTCAAGGCAAACTCTAGGATGGTTGGTCACGCTGACCACACCCACGGTGAGGACCGTGCCTTGGAGTTGAATCCCAGCACTGTCCCTGTGTGGGGCCTTGGCTGTCCCTCGCCAGCACCCCACTCGAAGCGACATAATCGCCATGTTTTGGTCAAAGCGGAGTCCTGGGAGCCAGGCCAAGAGGGGAGGAGGGGACGAGGCACCTCTTCAAGGCAGGGTGCCCGGGGGACTAGTCTCCAGCACTCTGCAGGCAGAGCCTGGCTGGCCCGTGAGCCTGCTGCGGAGCTGGCTGTGGCCTCGGGCCCTGGAGCCTGGGGTGGGGGCGCAGCTCCCAGGCAAGGCCCAGCTGAGCCGTCCCCCTAGGCCCGGTGTTCGTGGTACAGTGGCTGTTTGACGAGGCCCAGCTGACTGTGGACAACGTGCACCTCACGGGGCAGCCGGTGCAGGAGGGCCAGTGGCTGTACATCCAGAACCTGGGCCGCGAGCTGCGCAACACACTCAAGGACGTGCCGTGAGTGTGCGGGGACCCCACTCGGCCCCCCGATACGTAGAGGCCACAGAGATGGAAAGCAGGAAGCAGCCCAGGGGTCCTTGAGGTGATCAACTGTGGTCAATGTAGACAAAGGGGTATCGCCCAGTGCTAGAGAGGAGTGAGCAAATGAGCCGTGAAAAGAGGAGGAGCTGTAAATGCATGCTACCAAGTGGAAGAAACCAATCTGAAATGGCCGCATGTGGTGTGATTCCAACTCTATGACATCAAACCCAAGTCTTTTGCATCTCCTGCATTGGCAGGCGAATTCTTTACCACTGTGCCACCTGGGAATCCCCTATGACATCCTGGAAAAGGCATAACTATGGACACAGTAGAAAGATCAGCAGTGGCCAGGGGCTGGGAGAGAGAGGTATAAATAGGTGGAGAACAGTAGATGTTTAGGGCTGAGGAACTGCTCTGTATGGTACCACAGTGGTAGACATATGTCATTACAGCAGTAGTAGTGTTAGTCGCTCAGTAATGTCCAATTCTGCGACATGTAGCCTGCCAGACTCCTCTGTCCATGGAATTCTCCAGGCAAGAATAGTGGAGTAGGTAGCTATTCCCTTCTCCAGGAGACCTTCACAACCCAGGGACTGAAGCCCAGTCTCCTGCATATAGGCAGATTCTTTATCATGTAAGCCACCAGGGAAGCCCCCGTGTCATTATACATTTGTCCAGATTCATAGACAGTACAACTCCAAGGATGAATCCTGATGTAAACTATAGACTGGGTGGTGATAATGTGTCAGCTAGGTTCATTGATTGAACAAACATACCAGCTGGTGGGGGATATTCATGATGGGGGAGGCTGTGAATGTATAAGAGCAGGGGATCAAAAAGAATCTATATCTTCCATTCAATTTCAATGTGAACCTAAAACTTTTATGAAAAACTAAAGTCTATTAAAAACAAATATTCACCTGTCCAGCAGAGCCCCCACTCTGAGCAGGATTTGGAGGCAGAAAGGGACAGGGGTTAGTAGGGCACCTGGGAGCTGGTGGGGATAAGGCCTGGGGGAGCCAGTGGCCAGCACAGCAAGCGGCAGGAGGGAAGTAGGAGCCAGTAGGGGACAGCCTCCCAAGAGAGGAGCTGTGACCTGTGCATTTTGGAGTGGGGAAGGAGCTGAGGTGGGATGTGGTTGCTCACAAGTTGCCTTCTCCCCAACAGGGCCAGCTTTGCCCCCGCCTGCCTCTCCCACGAGATCATCATCCGAAGGTCAGTGCACCCTGGCCCCAGGACAGCTCATATCCATGGCTCTTTATCCAGACATCTGCAACGCCCCCATCCCCAGCAGGCCTGCCCACCAGCCTCCCCAGCTCTGGCTGCTTCTGAGGGTTTTCAAAACCACTTGCACAACCAGCTGTGTGGCAAGATCTCAGTGGTGGCAATGCCGTCCCCTGCTTTGGCCACACCCGAGTGATCCCAACCTGGGTTTCTGTCTGCAGCCACTGGATAGACGTCCAGGTGAAGGGGACCTCGCTGCCCCGGGCGCTGCACTGCTGGGACCGAAGCCTCCACGACAGCCACAAGGCCAGCAAAGCCCCCCTGAAGGGCTGCCCCATCCACCTGGTGGACAGCTGCCCCTGGCCCCACTGCAACCCCTCGTGCCCCACCATCCGGGACCAGTTCACGGGGCAGGAGATGAATGTGGCCCAGTTCCTGATGCACATGGGCTTCGACGTGCAGACGGTGGCACAGCAGCAGGGCCTGGAGCCCAGTAAACTGCTGGGGATGCTGAGCAGCGGGAGCTAGGGCCCCCCGCCCCAGCCATCTCCCCTCCAGGCCCTCCTGCCCTCCTAGGACTGCAGGGCCCCAGCCGTCCCCACCCTGGGTCTGGACGCCCTCCCCTGGCAACCTTCACTGTCTCTCTCCTACTGCCTCTGAGGGGCTCCGGCCAGAGACGGTGGACCTGCCATCAGCCTGGCTGTACCCCCCCCCCACTCCCTCCACCTCCAACCCACGGTAGGGAGCCAGAAGCACTGGATTCCTCAGCCTCCAGCCCAGTCCCCCAGCCTCTCCTGCCCTTTTGTATTATTTTATAAAGTGACTTTTTTATTAATTTTTTAAAAAAAGAAAAATAAGCAAGAAATATATAGTGAATGATATTATTTTGTAACATATTTTTTTTAAATAATGAAGAAAAGATAACAAAAGAGCCTCACCCTGTAGACGTGTTTATTTGAGGGGGCACTTTGCCTGCTTCACACCCCGACTCGACCCGGACCCCCTACAAACCCAGGGCAGCAGGGAGAAGCTGAGAGGGACTCTGGGGGCTCCTGACCTCCAAACTTTGCTCCTTCTGTTCATCCTTTCCACACACAGCAGTAACGGGCCTGTCTCAGACAAGCCCCCAACATGGTTTTAAGCTCCCTTTCCTCTTTATTTTGATCTTGGGGTGGCATTCACACCACACCTCCACCATTTCTAAGGGCATGACTTGGCATTTGTACATCTACAATGTTGTGTCTCCAACAGCAACCTCCACTTTCAAAACTTTATCACAAAACACTCCCTCCCCAGCTAGCACGTTCTTTGAAGTTTGTATTGTATTTATTTTCACAACATCACACATGCACATGGTCCAGAATTTGAAAGAGGCAGAATTTTGGAGGGTGAAAATTCTCCCTCTAGGCCAGCCCTTGGCTCTGCTTCTGTGGTTAGTCCCAGAGGACACAGCCTCCCTATAAATACACACACACACACACAAACACACACAATCTTGTCCTTCCATGTGTGACTGCACACCACACATTCGTTGTCTGGTTTCTACCTCCCGCTGCAACTTGGGGCTGAAGAGAACATTCCCAGTTTTCAGTGAGCCCTGTGCTTCATACCCTCTTCAGGTACAAAGGGCACCGCGTGACTAGTCTGTGTCAGCACCACTGCACACAGGCCGGCATCTCCATGGAGGCACCCCGAGGTGGCATGGGAAGATAGTGAGCCCCTGTGGGTTTTCTGACATATTGATAAGCAGCCCCTCCGAAGGTGGCCAGGTCATGACTCTCCAACAGACCTGGCTTTCTCAGCGCTCCCTGCCCTAAGTGCCCCACACATGACACCCTGATTCCCCCGGGTGCCCAGCAAGTAGGTCTTATTACAGGTCCCAATTTGCAGATTGGGATAGTGAGGCCCTCGGACTCCCCTGGTGGTCCAGTCGTTAAGAATCTGCCTCCCAATGCAGGGGACATGGGTTCAATCCCTGGCTGAGGAGTTAAGATTTCCCACATGCCTTGAGGCCACTAAGCCCCCACCCCCAGCCACAACAAACGATCCCACATGCTGGAACTAAGACTTGATGCAGCCAAATATCTTAATAAAAATTTTAAAAAAGAAACAGGCCTGAAGAGGCTATGTGAAGGGACAGAAGAAGGATTCATGCCTGGTCTCTGCTTCTATCCTCCGACCACCCAGCCTCTCTCAGGCAGCCTGCAGCTTCAATCCCAGAGTGGGGAGAATCATGGAGACCCCGTCCTCTCAACGCCCCCCCTAGACTGGGAGTATGCCCTGAGGTCTGACCAGCTCTGGGCCCACCAAAGTTGGCTTCTCCAAGGGGAGCTTAAATGACCCATCTCTGGTTTCCTCTGTGGACAGCTCCCATGGGAGGTCACAGAGTCTCAGCGACCCAGGGAGACAGTGAGGTCAGGGAGGGGTGTGGCCAAAGGCTGGAGATGAAAGAAGGGGGACCCTGGGGTGGCTGCTGGCTTGGGGAGCAGCCTCCTTGGAAGGGCATGAACAGGGTTCCCAGTGTGACAGTGGGCTTCCAGTGGGAGAGGGGGCTGGGAGGACCCAAAAGGGGCCTGGCTTTCACCTACCAGGGGAGACTTGCATGGAGGGAGGGGTCCATGCTGCGGTCAAAGCTGGGCCTCTGGGGGAGGGACCCCAGAGGCGCTGGCTGGAGGCCAGTTCTTTGTGTGGAGAAGGGTGGCAGGTGGTGACATCAGCACAGACAGATGCTTTACTCTGTATGAGGTGGGCTGAAAAGAGTAACAGTGTGGCTTTGTGTGTCTGGGGCGTGCCAGGCCCACTGAACATTATACTTGTGGGTTAGGCCCGATGGGATTTCACCAAATGAATAAATCCTTTCTCGCCATGTTCCTGATAAAGAAGGAAGGAAGCTTAGCTTACCTCCAGTGTCTGCGCCTTACTGTGAGCGTTGTTCAGTTGCTCAGTCGTGTCCAACTCTGCGACCCCATGGACTACAGCGCACCAGGCTTCCCTGTCCTTCACCATCTCTCAGAGCTTGCTCAAACTCATGTCCACTGAGTCAGTGATGCCATCCAACCATCTCATTCTCTGTTGTCCCCTTCTCCTCCTGCCTTCAATCTCTCCTAGCATCAGGGTCTTTTTCAATGATTTGGCTCTTCACATCACGTGGCCAAAGTACTGTGGGTACCACTGGCAAAATGAGCCTGGGACCCATAAAGAGAGTGAGTGATGCCAAACCTGTAGTGTTCAGTGCATGATCAATGTGATAGGTGGAACTGTCTACCCTGACGTCCCAACTTCTTTTATTTTTCTTTTGTTTTTTTGGCTGAGCCACGGTGCAGGTAGGACCTCAGTTCCCCAACCAGGGATTGAACCCATGCCCTCTGGAGTGGAAGCAGCCAATTCTTTTTTTTTTTTTTTAATTTAATTTCTTTGGCCACTCTGAGTCTTCACTGCTTTGCTCGGGCTTCCTCTGGTGACAGAGAGCAGGGGCTACTCTTCACTGTGGCACTCAGACTTCTCACTGCAGCGGCTCCTCTTGCTGCAGAGCATGGGCTCTAGGGCCCCAAGACTTCAGCAGTTACTTCTCTCAGTCTCCAGAGTGCATGCTCAGTAGTGGTGGCATACGGGCTTAGTTGCCCCGAGGCATGTGGAATCTTCCCAGACCAGAGAACGAACCTTTGTCCCCTGCACTGGCAGGCAGATTCTTAACCACTGGACCGCCAGAAAAGTCCAGATCTTGGTCTCGTACACCGTCTCCAGTAACAGGAACCAGGACTTCTTGGAAAACACCTGATTCTAAGGTTGGTGAGAAATGCACAGGATGAACCTAGGGCATCTTGCAGTGCCTGCAGTGAGGAGGTGCTGAAAAACAACCCCAATCCCCACTGATGGTGTCTGTCAGGGGACACTTGGAAGGCTTTGAGCAGCAGAATAAAAAATGTAGTTTTGGATTATAACCCAAAGTATAAAATGAATGTCCTCAAGTCGATCCTGATAGAAGTAAATAATTGAAGAAAGTAAGTGAGGGAGAAAAGACCAACCTGTTTGCAGCATTCCAAATAATTTATGTTGATACTGTCCCCTCAAGGTGGGGGAGAATACAGTCCCCTTAAGTGTGGGCCACAACTGTGGGTCCCCTGCCCAGAGAGAACAGGATGGGGAAGGGGAGAAAGAAAGAGGAACTCCTCAGAGGTGACACCTGACAGACACACCTCAGCAAAGTGATCAAGGGCAAAAGGTGGGGAGTCATGCTGAGAGCACTGGCCCTGCGGGACGTGATGAGAAGGGCACTTTCCCTCTGTGGCCTTCCTCCCTAAACCCACAAGCCCAGACTAATAACAAGAAAAACATCAGACAGGCCATTCTGTCATCCCTGCCCAGCCCTCCTCCAAACCATCAGGGTCGTTCAGACCAGGAAAGTCTGAGAGACCCTCCTGGCCAAGAGCAGATGAAGGAGACGTGACGACTACTTGTCACGTGAGGTCGGAACAGGTCCTGGAGCAGCCGGAGGGCGTGAGGTTAAACCTGAGGAAACCTGAATAAATGCTAATAATAATATATTGATATGATAAGCCAGTGTTGTCTCATTAATTGTAACAAATGTTCCGAAAGATGTTTACAATAGAACACACTGGATGTGAGGAATATAGGAGCTCTTTCAGTCAATTTCTTCTGTGTGTCTACTGTTGTTCTAAAAATAAAGTCTATTTCAAAATTTTGTAAAAGCAAGTTTTTTTTTTTTGCCACACTGTGTGGCACATGGGGTCTTAGTTCCCCGACCAGGGCTTGAACCCATGCCCCCTGCAGTGGAAGTGCAGTCTTAACCACTGGACCTCCAGGGAAGTCCTTTATTTTTATCTATTTATTTTAAAAAATTTTAAAGCAGCTTTTTAAAATTAATACAAGAATATAAACCTAACCATGTTTAGAACTGTAGCAAAATGTACTTCACTTATTTTTTTAAATTATTCTCTTTTCCTGGTTTAGGAAGTAATAGTTATTAGTTTAAAACTGGGAAAATACTGAAAATCCAAAGGGCCGAAGCACCTGCTGCCCCACACCTTGGAGGTGATGGCAAGGCATTCTCAGGAGTTTACCCAGCCTTTCTATCTTCGGACGCATATGTGCCCACGGGCCCTTTAGTCTTCCACACTGCCCCTATGACCTCCTGCCTTGTCACCCTGCTCTTCTCCAAGATGACCTCAAAGCAACCTAAGTGTCCCTCACACAGGTATTCCTTAGTCTACTCACCCGTCCCTACTGCTGAACTTCAGGTGATTTCCAACCAAACTCACTTAAAATGTTGTTGAAATTTCCGTAGTATGAGAAGTTATCGATCTAGAATCACTGTGCTTCTGTAATTGTGACATATTAGCAAAAACTCAAAAGCAAAAGACATTGTGGCCAAGCAGCCCGGTGGCCGACCACTTGGGAGTCGGGGTCTAGAACCAGAAGCATGGCCCACGGCAGGGTCCAGAGATCCTCACCACGGGTCCAGTCAGGAAGCACCTGCCTAGACCGCAATGGGGACCCAGAGCTCCCCCAGGACCTCCTGGGTGGGCAGAACCCAACTGGAAAAGCAAAGAAAGATGACTTTGCTGTGATTTGTTCTCAGATTCTCAAGCCCTCTTTCAGAAAAGATGATACTTTTTTTTTAATTGAAATATAGTTGATTTACAATGTTGCGTTAGTTTCTGGTGTATAGTAAAGTGAT